AAAAAAAAAAAGAACAAAATAAAGAAACTAGAAAGTTACCACATATATTTGGAGAATCAGTATTTGATAGGGGTGGCATGGTGTTAGCACAATTAGTTAGCTGTATGGAAAAAGTTAGAATTAAAACATAACAGTAAGTTCAAGAATGACTAAAAACCTAAATATGCATGTTTGGGAAGTAAGAAGATTTTTTTAAACTACTGGAAAAAAATTAGAGACTAAAGGAATATGGGATAGCAATGATTTCTGGAAGAAACAAACCAAAAGTAACAAAAATCATATAGGAAAAGACTAACAAAATAAAAAAAGACATACACAAAATAAGACCGATCAAACACAGACTGGAAGGGTTTATAACTAACAAAGCACTAGTAGGTCTATACTATACATACATACATATATATATAATCTGTAAAAACCACCTACAAATGAGAAAAAGACAAACCCAATAGAAAAATGAACAAAGAACATGAGCATTCAATTCAGAGGAGGAAATTCAAAAAGCCAATACAACATAGGAAGAGATGTTCTCCTTAAATCCAATCAGAAATGTAAATTATATAACACTATTTCATGCTCATCTGATGAGCATTTAAAGCCTGACAGTATCAAGTGTTACTGAGAACAGTTGCAATATGACTTGAAGATGTTCTACCCAATGACCTACTAATTTTATGTCTAGACAAATAATAATCTAGAGAAACACTAGCACCTATGCTCAAGGGAAAGGGGCCAGGATGCTCATTATAGCAGTTTTTGTAATAGTAAAAAGTTGCACACAACATAAATATCCTTCACTGGGGAAATTAATACACTGTAGTACAGTCACACACTGGAATACTGTTCTAGTTTATTATGTATTTAACTGCTAGTTTGTATCATCATACAAAATGAAGATGTAGAGGTACTAACCTGAGCAGGTAAATTCACATTTAGAGTGGGTGGATGAATAGGGTGGGTGACTGACCTCTTATGGTAGGCAGTATCTGACTCTTGCTCCAATCTCACTTCCTCTTCCCCCCCTTCTCAATATAACTAAATCACAACACTGGCCAGATCACCAAATCAAAAACTGTAAGCACAGGTCACAGCGCCACCATGTGTTTTTATTGCGTCTCCTTTACTATGAAGTAACTGGTTTCATTTGCCTATAGTACCTGAGCCTAGTAATCCTCAAACTTTTCAAAGTCAAAAAGGCTTTATTCAAATGAAATCTTAGCTTCTTACATGTCAAAAAAAAAAAAAAACATGAAAGGTGCCCTGGAGGTTGAGAACTGGCATTCTAACAACTTCCGGTCACAGTTATAACATTTCAGCAATAACATGAACTACATAAAAATTCTTAACAACTACTAGTTTACTTCTAAGTATAATTCAAAAAGCTGAAGAGCTGGACATAGTGGTTTATGCCTGTAATCCCAGGGAATCTAGAGGTTGAGATGGGAGGATCACTTGAGGCCAGAAAGGAGTTCAAGGCTATAGTGAGCTATGATTGCACCATTGGACTACAGCCTGGGCAACAGTGAGACTTTGTTTCAAAATAACTAAATAGATGGGATGTTTTCTTTTTTGAGACTGAGTCTCACTATGTTGCCCTCAGTGGGGTGCTGTTACGTCACACCTCACAACAACCTCAAACTTTTGAGCTTAAACGATTCTCTTGCCTCAGCCTCCCAAGTACTTAGTTGGGACTACAAGTGCCTGCCACAATGCCCAGCTTTTTTTTCTGTTGTTGTTGCAGTTGTCATTATTTTTTAGCAGGCTCAGGCTGAGCTATGAGTGCTAAGCCAGATGGGACGTTTTCATGAAAGTTTTGCAGGCTCCTAAAGATCTCACACTCCAGGAATTAAATCAAATAATTTTCAATTCAAGAGTATATTTCTAAAGAGCCATAGTGCTGGTGTGGCACCCGTAGCACAGTGGTTACAGCACCAGCTACATACACTGAGGCTGGTAGGTTTGAACATGGCCAGGGCCAGCTAACCAAGGACAACAACAACAAAAAAACAGCCAGGTGTTGTGGCAGGTGCCTATAGTCCCAGCTACTTGGGAGGCTGAGGCAAGAAAATCACTTAAGCCCAAGAGTTTGAGATTGCTGTGAGCTGTGAGGCCACAGTACTCTATCAAGGGTGACATAATGTCTCCAAAAAAAAAAAAAAAAAAGTCACAGTGCTATTATAATTAAAACCAGTCTTATCTGAGATCAATTTTAACAGAAAATATTAAATAAGAATATTTAAAATAAGCTTTATACTATATCAATTTACTGATTAGATGCTTATCCACTGGCATAATCTCATAAAAATTAATTACATGGTCCTCAGTATCAAGTTACTGTAGAATTCTGTCAAAATAAGTATTTGATGTCTTTAAGACTCAGGAATTAAGCAAATCACCTCTTCATAGAGAGTACACAAATAAAAGTAAGCGTAAATGACCCAGGAGAGGGAAAGGTATCAAGGTCACATAATTAGAATAATTCCTAGATCACACAGCTCCTCTCCACCTCAAACACATATGCAAGTATTGTCAATATAGGTGAATGTTGTATGAAAAGAATGCATTTCCATACTTAATCATTAAAGAAATACTTATTCGTTAAAGAAATGATGTTGCCGATATTACAGACTAAAATT